ATTTCCAAGTGAATCAAATAATAGTATTTTACTGGTGAGAAATTATAGTGGGTACAGTAGCGCGTGTGTGTTGTGTGCCGAGAAGTTGCTCTAGTCTCCGTGGTTACGATACATCTGCCTGCAGAGCTGTAGGTATAGGTACTCCGAGCTCCCTTATATTATGTAGTACCGCCTTCCCCGATGCAGCGACTCGTGTGTTTTTCGGGCATGGTCTTGTTTTCGGTTGATGTTATCATTTTTTGGAAGAGCGACTACTGACTAGTTTGACTAGTTTAACTACGTCTAGACACTAGACACGCACCCGGCTGAAATTCCGTCGTATTTTCGAACGTTTATTACATCGTGAAATGTCAACCACTATACCCATTCGATGTTTTCATAGTGGCTCATATAAATTAACCATAAATGTTAATTTTATTCATATTATGTCATATTCGTGAAGAGCTCGGTTTCGAGTTAGGTAGCAATATATTATACATTATGATAGGTCGATGTATTCCCTGTTATATAATATTCGGTAAATTCTAGGCCCGCGATATTATACAGTATTATATAGTAGGTATACAAAATAAATAAATTGCCTCAGCGTGTGCAGTTTGTGTGGAAAAAATTACATTGGCACCGGGTGCTTACTGCTTTAATAAAATATATTATTGAAATCACAGATGATTATAGTCTATTAAAGTTACCCAAGTATAATTTTTTTTTTATTATTTATTAATACGGCTTCAACATTAAAGTCATTAGCCGGGAACAAAACATGTTTACAAGTTGTTTACAATCATCATAATATTTAAATAAAAATAATATATATTATATAGTATAGTACAAGTTTATAATATAGTGATAATGGTATAGGTAACAATAGTATATAACTATTTAGATTCTATTATATAGATTGGTTATTTTAAGGAATGTTATTAAATAGTTAAAATTGTCTATACTTAGAATATCTCTTAATGAGGAAAAATTGTTCTTTGTTCGGTTAGATTAGGGTATTCTAGGAGTATGCGTGTGTTATGGAAATCGGGGCGTTGTTGCGGAGTTCGCAGTTTGGTCTCGGCTCTCTTCTCATTAAGTGGACGTGTGTGATGTTTGTGTGCCCAATTTTTATCCGTGCCCATCCAAGTATAATTATAATATTACCAATGAATAAAATGTAATGAATTCATTGATTTAATGGAATCTAATCGTCACTGTCGAAGAGGTGATTTAATAATATTATTAATCTCTGGGGAATAATAATACCTAATTAGTTAATTATTCGACTTATCGCTGTTGAAAACTGCAGAGATACTGCTTAAAATCTTTTAAGTAAATAATATTAAATTACTACTAACATTTATTATAATAGCTAATGCCAGCAATAAGTCTACTAAAAAAATATAAAAAAAAAATTAAATAATAATAATAACATATTCATAAGTACTTTGTATTCTTACGCGCTGGGAAATGTACGTTTCTATATATTATACTTATACAGTTATACCTACCTACTAATGCAATATATTACCTTCACAAAATATTATATTATGTTAATGTTCACATTCTTATAGAGCAGTGGTTCCCGACCGGGGGTACGCGTACCCCAAGGGGTACTTGCGATGATCTCAAGGGGTACGCGAAAAAAATTGAGTAATTGCGGACAAATATTGAATTTGGTTAATTTAAAACTATTCGTTTCGGAAATATGCAATATACGTTATTACAAATGAAAACTTGTGTCACACAAATAACAATTTTTTCTTATCTTATAGATGTGGATAACAGAGTATAGAATACCAATACTACATAGAATACTGTCTTATTATAGATTATATAATAGGTTGCGGTGTTGGTGTGTATTGAGCTTCGGCCAGTTTATATTGTTATCATTTATCAAGCATTCGTACACACGGGTAAAACTTGATTTTATAATGGAATCAGTATGACAGTATGTCGATTGCTTTCAAACTGTGATTATTGTACGAAAACTTTTCTTATTTATATTTTATAATTCGTTATTTTCCATATTGTTTATTAAATAAGTAAAATGAGTAATTTTTTATGTGTCTTATTACTCAAAATAAAAATATATACATTTATTACATTATATTATATTATTGTTATTTTGAATTAAATGTTTTAAGAGTGGTTACGTGAAAAAAATTTAAAAATATAAAGAGGGGTACAATCTAGAAAAATATTAAGCTTAGGGGTACTGAAGAAAAAAAAGGTTGGGAATCGCTGTTATAGAGTGACGACGATAAAATTGAAATAATTGTTGGCGATAGAAATCTTATTAATTTTCAGGTCGGAGATTAGTGTTCTATAATGGGGCTCGTGGAAAAATAATATATAGATTATACACAGCGTCCCCGTTACAGCTAACAAATATTACATCCAAATTTTCCATCTGCACTAACAATCCACGGATATTTTTCTTTAAATTCGATCCATTGAGACTCATTCCACACCATTGGCCATTTTTTGTTTTCGATATTACTACTATTACTATTGCTAGGACTCACTAACGTTAAGTTATCGGTGGTTTTAGATATTTCTAGTAAAATAATATTATTATTTTTTTTTTTTTTTATTCGAAGGGTTTTCATTATTTGCCGATTTTCTTTTTCTTTCTAATAAACTTCCCGTTTTTAACCAACTATCCATATTATAACTGCTTATTAAAATAAATTTGCAAATAAAATAAACACGTACCTTTTTATTGATCGACTGGACATAACTTATACACAGATATGATACACGAATCACTTTCAACTGCAAAATGAAAAATGAACACACCATACACATACGGTAATGTGCGACGGCTGGACGTTTTATTTTTATCTAAAATACAGAAATTACAGCACTAATGTTATTTGATTGTTATATTATCTAATCTAAAGTTCATTGCCGTCAATCGTTGCCCAATATATATATTTAATTATATATATATAAATTATATTTTATACAAATTGTCTAACTTAACATTCTTAGTTTTTCTATCAACAATTTTTATAATAATCTAATGACTTTTATCTTTATATTACCTATTTGTTAATTTCACTACAACAGAGAGTATACGACAGAAAGGTATACGGAGTTTATCAGAAATAACCAGAAAGTATACCCTCCACTACAGCACTGCTAATAGGCAGGAGGAGTTACACGTGATAATACTCACTCGTATATATTTATGTGCGGGGCCATCAAATATTTTGCCCTGGGCGAAACTTCAAAATGCGCCTTTATGTATTTTTAATTATTATGAAAACTCAACGATGAATGTTTTTTAACGCGATTTAAACAATTTTTTTCTTTATAAATATACAAGCGTTTGATAATTGTATTAAAAATCAATAAATATTTAAAATAATAATGTATTTACAAATTATAAGTATAACATAATAACATTTATAAGTTATATGAGTAAATAGGTACGTTAATTACTTTTACTTATTAATTACGTTTAAATTATAACTTTTCTAGCTTTTTTCAATGCAGAGTTTTCAATAAGTTCGTTTATTTCTAATGTATTTACCAATGTATGTTCGATGGATAAAATAGCCATATCAGATATTCGATTTTGTCTTATTGTCGACCTCAAATAGTTTTTTATGAGCTTTAACTTACTAAATGATCGGAAAGTACGTGCCTATCTAGAGACTATAACATATTAATATTTATTATTTATAATACTCTATAAAATTTATATGAATATCAGAATATGTTTACAATTTTTTTTAAATTTAATTTGTTCGATGTAACACGAGTTTTTAATATTATACTATTATGAGCCGCAGCTGTATAATTTTATAAAAATAATAAACTCAATCACATATAGATACCTGTAAGGACGAAAGGCTGTAGTAAAATAAAAATTTTCAAGAGCCCAGGACTGAGCCCAAGACAAAACACAAATGAAGAAATAAATAATCAATGAATAATAAAATATAAATGTAATAACTAATAATCAATTTTTAGTAGCTAACGATAGCTACTGTTGTATAATACTCAGTAAACACGAGACATTAAATCTATATTTGCATTAATCAGAATAATTTTGAAATAAAAATAGATGGAATTTATAATCGTTGTATACGTTTATCATTTTTAATTAATCATAATACATATAATATAGACTATAGAGCATATTAATATATTATTACGTATATTTGTACATTTATTTTATTCCTATAAAGTACACAGCAGAACATTATGACTGTGAGACGGTACCAAATTATAGGCATTAAGTTTAAATATATTAAAGCAATGTCGTATCGGGTGCGGACAACAGACATACCTAATATTATTTAAGACTATAAGATAATTATTTAAGTTTAAGAACTTTCTGTACTTAGATCGATTGTATTTACTACCTAACTAATTATTGGCGTAGTGGGTACCTACTTTTATATAAAAATATTTTAATTATTAGATTTTATTTTCAACAGTTTCTTCAAATATTAGAAAAAAGGATATTGAAGCTTCTAGAAATAAAATATACAACATCGACTGTTGTAATTTTTAACATAGAATTCAAGTTTTTAATTTTTACGCCTCCTTAAGAATTGCGCCCGGGGCGTAGGCACCTCTCGCTCCCGCATCGCTACCGCCCTGGATTTATATGGATTTATATGGGGCGAACTACAAATAGGTAGGTAAGTATAGGTGACACTAATTTACATAGGTATACTAAAGAATTTATTTCTGATTACATCGACGACGACCGCGGACTCATCATCGTCTATGAAAAGGCTCTCTAACACAAGATATTTAAATCAGATTCATTGTGTATATAAATAAGTAACCACCTACCTTCCTGGACGGACGGCTATTCTTTGGTACACAAATATACCAACGCGACATATTGTTGCTTTACAATAATGTCGTATTTGTTATGGAAATCATGCATGGTTATATATAATATAAGGAGCTCCTTTAGGTGGGTATTATAGAATCGTTTTGCACCCAGCTAGATGTGTTTGTATTCGAGGGGCAGCCTATAAAAAGAGATCGTTTCATTAGACATCGGTTTTAGTCTGTCAAAATGCATTGCCCAGAGAGGTACATCAAACACAACGGTATGCAGCAGAAGGAAGCCAAGGATACCTTGACTGCATATATCGAGAAAATGGTGTGGACTTCAAACGAAATAGTTTTGGACATAGGGTGTGGACCGGGTGACGTGACGTCAGATATCCTTTATCCTTTTTTGAAAAATAAAATCAAACAGTTGGTATGTAACTCTATTTAAGTCGCTTGGAATAATATGATAATTGTTGTAAATATTGTTTTTGATTATTGTACCTGCCTATTTATTTATGACGATGTCGATTTTTTAGATTGGCGTTGACAAATCCGTATAAATGGTAGAATATGCTAAAAAAACGTTTGGGAACTCCGAGATCGATTTCAAAGCTCTGGATATCGAAAACGCCGACGACTGCAACTCTTCTTATTCCCGCGGATTCAACAAAATTTTTTCATTTTTCTGCTTTCACTGGGTTCATAATAAAGCCGATTCCTTGCTTAATTTGCACACGATGTTGGGAAGTGGTGGAGAAATTTTGATTAACTTCTTGTTAGTCAATCCGTTGGTTGAATTGTACAAATGTATGGACGAAGAATGGCAAAAATATGTTAAGGTGAGTAGTTACCCATTTATCTTTTTTTAGGTTTTATTTCAATTAATAAAATAATTTACCATTTTATTTATTAACAGTTAAGAAAATTTATATACTCAGTCGAAAACCTCGAGGTTAACCTATTAATGGTGATTAAAGTGACACCCATACAAATTCAACTTATAATATACACTTTAAGCGAACTTTATTTTATTCAAGGCTTGAAAACGAATTACAATTTTTTGATTTTGATTTCAATTTTGCTAACAATATTAGATTTTTCTGATTTAAATTTAAAAAAGTTTATGGATTTCATAATTTCGTACTTTCTATTTCGTTGCACAATATCTATTTAATTAATTTTGATATTTTAATTTTTTAAATGTGTTAACGATTTTACATTTTTACGATTTCAATTTTGATTTCCATCAGAGGATCGTTGTTCGTGAGTTTCTTTCACTCATTTTTACGTGAGGCTGTGGAAGGGTTAAATAATCGAAAATACTTACCAATAAACAATATATACTTGTTAGTTATTATTGAATTTCTAATTTGAACCAAATTTCTTTTGAATTTTAAATCAAATTGTTATTGTATATAAACGTTGTACAATTAATTTTGATATAAATCGATTTAAATTTTATGTTACCTACTTTTGATTTCATAGAGGATTTTTACTATTTTTATCGATACTTAAAATTGATTTTGAAATTGATGCAGGACCTACAGCACATGGCTCAAGATTTGTTTTCACAAGATGAATTGAGAGAAATGTTCGTCAATGCTGGATTTCGAATCATCAGCATAGAATCAAGTGTCAAAAAATATGCATATCCAGACATCTCATCATTTTTGGGTAATTACGATCGCTTGTATTTTTATTACTATTATTTTTTATTCGATCAAAACTCAAAAGCTACAATGACAATGATTTTTAGCTAACTACCTATTTAAAACTATTTACTCTAATTATCTCATTATCGGGACTCGTAAGTTTATGCACTAAAAAACGCCTGAATTGGTGTATGTATGCAACTATATTATGCTCCGAAAAATGTTCAAATGTGCATTCAAAATCGTCAATATCATCACACAGTAAAAACTTGTACGCTTGAAAAAAAGTACTATCAATTAATTTTTTTAATTTATCAAGTAAACTCAATATCTTCCAAATTATTTTTGATTTAAAAACTATATTACCTAATAAATACATTTTTTTAGTTTATGCGTTTGTTTATATTATACTTTGCTATTTTTAAAAGACTTCACATATTCAAATTAACACTTGAACAATTCATTATGTTTGTCAATTCTTCGTATCTAGAAAATAGAAATAGAATCTGTGGTTGATTATATACTATATCGAATTCATACATTTAGTCTATTTTTTTAAAGGATAAATAATAATGATTTTAATTTCGTGAAAAACCTGTGTTTTAAAAAAAAAATTATTGCAGTTGGACAATCCTTTTCGATTTTTAATATAAAAAATATCACACCTTACTGCTGTACTTATCTATTTTAGATTCTGATCCGAACTATGAATGTATTGATTTTACATGATGTGTGTTTTTTTATTTATTTTTTTTTTTTTGTGTCTGTCATCACGGTTTGGGGCAGTAAAAGTGTTTCAATTTTGTTTAACAGCGACTTTAATAGTAGGAAAACGAATCTAGTTGTTATATTCGAGAGATCAAAGTAAAAAAATTCCCAATAGTTTTCAAAAGCGACAGGTATAACAACAAAAAATTAAAGAAATACGGTTCAAAATCAGTTATCGAAAACATCGATTTTGGTTTTTAGTGTATAACTCTAAAAAAATGACTGTAGATACATGCAATTTTCTGTAAAATTTTCAAAATATTTTGATTTCATTGAACTATAAATAGGCATATCAACATTTTCGATTATTATTTGTTTTTTTAAACTAATGCCAATGAAAAATTTTTCGCTAGGTCAAAAAACTTGTAAATTTAATACAATAGGTTCCTCGTAAGTTGTTGTTAGTGGAAAAAAAAAATAAGCTTTAATCTGCAATGGTTTTTTTATGCGCTTTTGAATTTAGAATTTTGACAAAATTCGTAAAAATCTCGAAAATTAGCAAATTATTTTGAGTTAGAAATTCATAGTATTTTTTTTTATATATCCAAGGTATAAAAAAATTAATACTTGTTTCCTTATAAGTTTGTCTAACTTTATCAAAAAAAAATTTTTTACCGTTAATTCAAATTAAATTGTTATGAGCGTTTGAAGTTGAAATTTTTACAACATATTATTGACATATACTCGTATATATTGACTCGATTTCTCAGTAGCGATTAACTGAAGAAACATGAAACTTAGGTACACATTATGTTTATTTCATCAATTCATATACTCGATCAAATGTTCAAAATATTTTGACTCGTTTTGAGCTGTCAACGGACATTTTCAATTTACATTTTTTTTTTCTATAAATGTCAATACAATTTTAGTGGTTTCGTCAAAAAGCATGAACATTTAATATAAGGCTCTTGATATTATATTGTTTACAATCACTTACACGCTTTTTAGTGTTTACTTCGTACGTTTAAAAATATATAGAAGAACATTAAATTTGACGTAGGCATAAGTCATACAATTATCTATATTTTTTCGTAATTTTATTAACCATATTAACCATTATTGTTTAGGGGATATTTTGCTGAACGATTAAAAATGAAAATAAACAATAAATCGCATAAATAAATAATAATGTACATTTTAGTTAAGAGTCTAAAGTAATTGCATTATTATAATTACCTATTTATAACTTGAAATGTGAAAACTGAAATTTATATGTATAATGAATAAAATACCTCACAATTATAAAATATGCGAATAGAAATTTTTAAAAAAATGGTAAGTGGTCTGCTGTACATTATTTGTCTTGTAGATCATTGCAATAACCGGCGTGTTAAATTTAAATTCAATGATATACAATCAATGTATACAAAAACACAGTCACCTGCCTATAATATTAACATTTTTACGAAGTAGTTATATTTGTTGATATTATTTATTTTACCATTAAGTATTGGGCAATAGCAATATTATGAGTTAAATTAATTTGCGTTTAAAAATGTCATTGTGAGTATAAAATATGATGATGTAGGTACTTTGAAAGTTTCAAATAACCACGAACAATATTTTTAAATTACAGCCAAATAACTAAAATCGTTGTTGTTTGTATCAATATATCTATAATTTCGTGGAAATTTGAAATTAAAATGTCTGTCGGAAAAACTGTGTTTATATATTTTTTAGATTTTTTGTCTGCAGTATGATCTATTTATGAGAGTTTTAAATGTTCAATCCTTAGTATAAAAATTGACTATTTCATAATTGTTTGATAAAGATGACTAAATTTTGAAGAATTTTGTGAAAATGTGAACTCTAAATAGGTTCTTATAAAAAAAGCATGGTGACTGTAGATATTTAATATTTCTCAACTGCTATTAAAATAAAGTATCTACTATCTATGGTTAACAGCTTTTGAACTACAACAAAATGAAAAAAAAACCGTTCGATATCAATGTCGTTAATTTATGGCTGAAAATCTAATTTAAACAAAAATTAAACATCAAACTCTTATAAAAAAAATAGTTTGACTTGTTATAAGGTAGGAAAACACGTATGGGAAAACTTTTATTACATTTTTAAAGGTTTTTTATTTTTTTTATTTTTATTTTTATAATTTTTTTTATGAATTTCTTACTTCTTTCATATAGGTAGGGAATGTAAAAATTATTTATGAATTATAATATTATGTAGATATCTAGTTAAAACTTAATCTTTCAGCACTCATTTTAATTACGCAATTAAAATGCATTTTTTTATAAGTAAAAGTGACCATTGATTTGATAATTTTAGGTTATTTATAAAATTAATTGTTTCAAGCTTCTATAAAACAAATATGATGAGTGTGATCAAATTATCTTAATATTTTGAGAACTTAAGTCTAAAAACTGTTGGGTATAATTATCAATACTAGAGTGTTGTCAAGTTTAATTTTCGAAACGAACTATTAAACTAATCACCAGTTGTAAATGAACTGGAAAACAAACAAAATAATGATAAAGAAGTTAGTTTTTTTTATTAACAACTTATTGCGGTACCAATATACAGTACTTATTAATTGGTTAATACCAGTAGGTTTCATCTATTTAATATTAATTATGTATCTGATTCTGTGAACAGTTGTAGCCAGCAGCTAGCATCACAGATTTCTATTTAGTACTGTAGTATACATGTTCTATGGTTAGCAGCCCCTTATCATAAAATTATAATTTTTAAAATAAAAAAATTATAAAAAAAAAATTTGTCTTTTATACATAGGTACCTACATAACGGCGCCCTTGTTGACTGTAGTACTAATGCCTAATAGTAAATTAAATTACTCTAATCACCATAATATCATAACATTTACTCAGGAATATTATAGACTGACAGAATGTCTCCGTCAGAATCGTTTTTCGTTTTCGCAATGATTTATTGTACTCAAATTTAACACAACCATTGCAACTACTCTTTAGACACCTATTGTATAGCATAGTTAATATTTTAACATTTTTTCAACTTATTCAGTTAATTTTATAAAAATTAATTTAAGAATTGAAATAACTTAGAGTTTTTCAGTTGATTCAAAAATAATTGTTCAAGTTAAAATTAAAAATGTTTTTTAAATGTTTGGTTTCAATAGATTTTTAATTTACTCATGGTGGATATAATCTATATTATTATGTATCACTATTCACACTGGAAAAAAAATGTAACTTTAACTTTTCAAATAGGTAGTCATCCACAAATTAACTCAAAGTGCAAATTGTTATTGTAGGTAGAAAATACATTGTCATAATTTATTTCTCATAGAAATGGCTAGATTGTCAATTAAATTGTTTAAACTTATTTTTTGTTTTTGATGCCATGTACTAACCATATGTTTAGGAATATTTTTTAAACATCATAATCTAATATTTCATAAGAATAAAAAAATTTCCGCTGTACGCACATTGTTTTCGCAAGTTTAAGAATTATTAGGAAGTTTAAAACTCCAGGCACATACGCAATCACCTGTTCATTCTCACAATTTCTACAAGAACACCAACTTGTTAAATTAATTTGATCTCTCATTCTAACTAATTGCTGTCTGTTCATATTCCTAGTATTCCTAGTAACCTAGGTAGTATATCTGATATACCTAGTAATCGAAATTGGCAACCCCAGTTAAAAATGTAATATATGGACACTTGCCTACAGGCTACAGCCTACTTTATACTTAAAAAGAATTGAAATCAAAAAGATATTCAAGATTTTCCTAAATATATTACATCACATACAATATGTCAATTGTTAGTTTTTTTATACAATAATAATAATATTACTTCCTAATTAGTGGGTATTCAGTTTTATGTATTTTTATTTATATTTTATTGTGTAGCTTTTCATGAATTTATATCAGTTTTTACATTAGAAATTTCATAATTGTAATACTTTATTTTAAATTTTTGAATTATGGAGTATAAAAATACCTAATTAATCAACGTAAGTAAAATAAAAAAACCGTTTAATTTAATTTTTAACTTTTTTTGTTTTGTTTTACATTTAAATTGAATTGATTTTCATGTCTAAAAATACTTTGTGTAATGATTGGTGTGACTTGGGTTTTTTTTAATGACAAAAAACTTTAATTAGGTATCTTTATAGAAATATTGTATAGGCAGTTAGTACAATAATAATTATGTATTGACACAGAATACAGATTTGATTTTTTATTATTATTTCTTGATTATTTATCTTATTTTATATTTGTGTTTTTAGATGCCGTCAAAGCTGTAGATGAAATATACAGTATTTTGCCACAACATATGCATGACAGATACACCACACACTTTAAAGGTAAAGCATTTGAGAAGCAAATGGTTGAAATATGTCCAATCACAGGAAAAGCAGTCTTTAAATATCATCCTATTAATGTGCATGCTATCAAAGATTAAAATTTAAAACAGAATAATCAATAATAACTTTATGATTTATAAACAACAGGCCATAGCATTACAGAATAATTGGAATATTAATATAGAAAATATCTTTAAGAAATATTTTATATTATTATAATAATTTATATACAGTTAAAACATAAATAAACAACTTAAAACATAACAAAGTTATTCTATTGTTGCATTTAAATTTATTTCAGGTACAAATTATGTGCTGTTAGAGGTATTGAAGAACTTTTAACTCTGTTTTTAAAACACCAAATTCTCAGTAGGTATGATATATTTTATTATATTATTAACAAATCATTTTTAAATGTATCACATTATATAGGTAGGTAGGTATGTTATGTTTAAAAACCCAGATTTAATTGATTCCGCAACTTTTTTTGCAGTTAAGATAAACCGAATCTGATTAAATGTATAGCCGATATACACTTTATGTGTTATGCCTATTTAATTTTATAATGCAATTTTTTACAATTTTGTGAGTTTAAATGAACAAAATATTTAACTCGACTAAATGTTTTGTATAAAAACGCTATTATGACATTGTTTAGAAACCGAGTTTTTGTTGTGTGGTACCATAAAGCCATTATTAAGAGGCATTATCAATAAATATGTAGGCGGTAATCTAGAAATTCGCTAGAGCAAACCGGTTTAAATTTCCCCTTAAAATGTAAATCGGTTTGGTTTAAAGAAATTCGCTGAACTAAACCGATTTAAAATAAAATGCACCGGTTTATTTTTACTTAGACCACCACAACTAGGTGGTTTAAAAACACCGGTCCCGATTCGTCCCCTCCTAATTTTTAATAATCCCCCTAATTATTCTGTTATCGTAGTTATCTGGAATTTATATTTTTATAAACAAATAATTTATAAATAGAATTGGTTTTGTACTTATTAGTTATTACTTAATATTATATTTACTTGACTAAGCTACTTATATGTCACTAAGGTGCTGTGTATAGTAGTTTATTTTATTACCCTATAGTACAGTAAACCTTACTTATAATACATACAATAAATCATTATTCAAGTCATCAAGATGTCAAGTATTTGGAATTTTGTTGATGAGGTTGATGAGGATCAGATAATGGATAACTACATACAAGGTACTTATGTAGTCTTGTAAAAGATACTTTTAAAAAGTATTCAAGTACAGATACAGATACTTTTTTTAAAAAGTATTTAAAATACGTATTTGAATACTCGAAAAAAAAGTATTTAAGTACAAATACAAATACTTTTAAAAAGTATTTACAGATACTTTTAAATACTTTCAAATACTTTTTTAATATGTTTTACTTTTTTACCTTGGCCTAATGACCTTATAGATAAATTGAATTATTAGTCAACTAAATTAATTTTTTATTTTAGCACTCTAGTTTTACTTAAATTAATTAGAATAAGAATAATTCAGCATTTTTTGGTCTTTGGTGTATGATGTCCACCAAATACTATAATTATAATACTTTGACAGTTTGACAACAATATAATGTATTATAAATATAGTCTTATTGACTATACAGTATACACTATACAATATTCATTCATTACTCATTATTAATTTTATAAATGTGTCATAGTAGCTATTATTATTATTAGGTATCAAGAAAAGTTGCAATTTTTTTTTAAAACTATTTTTTATTTGATTTACAGTAGTTACATGTAAAATTATTCTAATCATATTTTGATTTTTTAATCTGTAATAAATAATTTATTGCATTTAAATAGCATAATTTTATACATAATTCGAGTAAAGGACAAAGGTATTTCCGATTTTATTAGGAAATCGACGGACTGTATTACATTCAATTAAATGGATACACATAACCTAGTATAGGCCACTAAAAATATTACAATATACCTACCAAAACACACCATGAACGATCTATAAATAAAAATCTTGTACAATTTCAAATTTTTTTTATTCAATTTAAATTTGGTAATAAAATAAAACGAAAAAAAGTATTTAAAAATAGTATTTGATTTTAAATACAGATACTTTCAAAAAAGTATTCAAATACTATACCCAAGTACTTTTTTCAAATGTATTTAGAATACGTATTTAAGTACTTAAAAAGTATTTGAATACTTTTACTCAAATACTTTTACTCAAGTACCTACTTTACAAGACTGGGTACTTATAATATTATAATATAATGTATATTGTATTAGCTTAAACTAATAATGAGTAGGTATAGCTATATTCTAACCATATTAAAATGTTTACTCCAATTTATATAATATACCTAACAATGAACCTTTATTTTTGGTTTTAGTATTGGAAAACGATTATATTTCTGAACTTGATAGTGAACTTGTTAGTGCTGTTGGTACACAAGATACAGAAACCACGGATTCAAGTAAATAAACCTAATTAAATACTGTATTCTAAATTTCTATAATATTATATTATAATATAATATGATATATTCAGGCGCGTACTGGTAAAAAAAGGGCAAGGGATGCTATATAATTGAAAGGGCAAATAGATAACAAAAATTGTTGGGACAATTTTAAAATATGTAGATTATTTATAAAATATTAAAAATACATAAAAACGTAAATAGCTACCAAGTTACAACAAACATTCAAACAAAATTGTACAATATTAGATTACTTAATTTTCTACAATTGTATGGTAAAAAATTAAAAATAAATTGACTGTCTGTGATTAAACATTCAAGTATTATATTTAATTACCTTATAAATATCATAAATCCGATTTTAGCAATTGCAATATAGGCAAGTAGTAGATTGTAAATAGATGACTAAATTAAAATATAAAGATAATTTTTATAAAATATAATATAACAATGTACCCTTATTTTTGGTTTTAGTATTGGAAAATGATTATATTTCTGAACTTGATGTTAGTGCTGCTGGTATACAAGATACAGAAACTAAGGATTCAAGTTAATACAATTAAATATTTAATGTTATATTTACAATTTATGTTTCAACTTAATAGGTATTATATTTGTATTTTATTTTAGATTCGTGGTCATCAAGTGCTACCAAGTTACTAATAACATTAAGAGGAGCTTGCCATGAAAAATTTGAGAAGATCAAAAAAAAGGGAAAAAAATTAGAACAGTGGGATGTGATTTCAAAAGAAATGAAAGCAAAAAATATTAATGTAAGTCCTAAGCAATGCGACGAAAAATGGCGAAGGTTATTAACTCGTTTTCGACAAGTGAGGGATGCATCTAAAAAGTCTAGGAGTGGTGGAATAAAATGGCAGTATTATATATTAATAGAAAATGCCATATCATCTACAGCCAGACAAACAATTTCACCACCAAAAAGTAAATATTTTTATTTTACTAAATTACTTAAATAATTTTAATATTATTGTTTATTCATTAATGAAAGTTAAATTTATTATACTTACATTTTAAAAATATGTATTGTATTAAATTTAGAATTTTCATTAATGATTGATAAATCATTATCTATCTATCCTTTTGTACTGATTTTAATAAATTTTTAGATTTGTTACATGAGTCAACCAAAGTTACAAACAGTTCTATTGAAATGCCAGAGTTAGAATCTTCAATATCACTTTCAACAACATCCGAATCATCTTTTACAGGAACACCAAAACCTTTATTTAGCCAAAACAGTCATGAAAAGATACCTGCTTGGTTTACTAAGTTTGAAAAGTTAAGAAATGATCAACTAGAGGCAACTAATAATAATGCAAATCAACTAAACATGCGGTTAGCAAAATTCATAATTATATTTATGTTTATTTAGTCATTTTGGTTTTAAACAAATGCTTTTATTCTAAACTTCCTTTTATTTGATCTGCTTCATTTTATTCATTTGTTTCATTCACTTAAAATATACTATGATTCATTATGATAAATATTACTCTTTTCACTATTAGTCTTGACAAGTTGGAAAAAAGAGATGAAATGATGCTGAATACTCAAGAAAAATTATTAAAAAAATTAGATGATGCAAATCAAATTGAAATTCAAAAGATGGAACTTTTCAAAAAAATTTATGACATCAACACATAATGTACTTATTTTTTCAATATTTTAATTTGAGACCAGTATTACAAAGTTTTTTCATTGGTATAGTAAAGAGAGGGCCAGTTTTTATTTTTATTTTGTTATTTACATTTTCAATTTGTTTTTATTACTAGAAAATTTTTTATTGTTTTGTACTCTATTATAATGTTATGTAATTAATAATTAATATTAAAGATAAAAAGGATATATTATAACATTAATAACAGTGTTTTAAACTTATTCATTTATTTATTTTTTTTTTTAATTAATGGTTAATGTATCACAAATTAAATTTCTTTTGGTTGTACCGCTAATAACTTCATTTCTTATTTCCTGTAAGTTCAATTCAGTTTGACTAGGTACAGCAGCATCAAATGTATCTTTGTTAGATATGCATATATTATGTAAGCAGCATGCAGCAGTTATCACTTTGCCACAAAAATCTTTTTTGTATAAGTCCATGTGCCTAAAATTAAATTACATTAGAAAGTTTTTAATTATCTATAAAAATACATTTACACACTTTAGTTTTCGAAATCTGCAGATCAATTTGCCGAATGCCTGCTCAATTAAAACCCTTGTGCTACTCAGCTTGTAGTTGAAATTTTTTTGTCTCAAACTTAGATTACCATTATCTTTATATGGTGTCATGAGGCCTTCGGTGAGTGGATAGGCACCATCACCAAGAATATGACATGATTTTGGGAACAAAGACAATGGATTATTAAGGATTAATTGGCCAATTTTACTGCATCGATAGATTCGAGCATCATGAGAACGCCCTGGCCAACCAGCAAACACATCAATAAATTTCATCTCGGCATCAACAATTCCCTAAAATAAAATGAATAACTAAAATATCTATTTAAACAATTGAATTTAAAACAGTCACGGAATACCAACTTGCAGTACAACAGATGGAACTTGTTTTCTGTTGCAAAACATATTTCTATCCAACTTTGGCATTTTAGTTCTTTTTTCCCATGGGAATAAAGTATTTATATGGCACCCATCAATACAGCCAAATACATTTGGAAATGAGCTTAATCCTCTTAAAGAATTAAATTTTTCAATATTTTCTAATGCAGCTACTCCTGTAGGCCATACAATTATCTCACTAGCTACATCATTTATAGCTAATAAACAGTTTGTTATAATTCCATGGCTTGTACTCTCTGCTATGTTAAAGCGATTACCAATTTGTCTGAAATGCATATTAATTGTATCTCAAATAGTCAAATTATAATTGGTCTGTAAGACTGTAAATGTATATTATATTTGACAGCCCTAGTAATGATTATAGGGCTGTGAATTTAATGCACTAAAACACTTTAAAAAATGCCAAAAAATATAGTATAAAGTGCACTTAAAATGGTTTTTATTTTAATTTTTATAATTATATTGGTATTATAGGATATTATACATAGTACATACATAAAAATGTGTTTATTTAATAAAAAAATGATAAAAATGTTGATTCAATTTGAATTTCACCTGAAACATTTATAATTGTATTTCAAATATCAATTGGCAGAATTTAATTAAAAATACCAAAAAAGGAAAATATGATTTACAAACGCAAAAAAATAAAAACGTATAAAAATGCAAAAATAAAAGTTTCATAAATGGATTCCTTGTTACATAATTCAAATGATGTACTTACAATGCTACGTTTCACAATTACTAAAAAAAAAATGCACTTTCCAACAAATTCACATTCCTAGTAATGAATTATTATTATTTAGTAGGAATATCCTCACCGATGTGTTTCACAATTTGCCATAAACCATATAAATATTAATATCTGTTTTTCGACATTGATTTTTATACCTGATTGTAACAAAGCAGGACCAATACATTCCATCAGAACCTAGGTAGCAAATATGTTAAGCCTTTTTCAGTTAGGAGCATAAGGATAAGATATAATGTAAAGATGAATATCTAATAAGTCAGACTACCTTAATACTACATCTGTTTAAGCGAAAATGAGACTTGAATTCTTTATTTGTGAATTTTGGTACCAATAACTCTGCAAAACCTTTAATTTTAATTTTAATTTTGTTTTTGCTCTCATTCTCAGCATTAGTTAAAATTATCATATCTTCTTCAAGTGATGTATCATTAAAAGTAAATTCGTTAAGATGAACTAATACATCTAATAAGTAGGTATTTACAAATAAAATATTATTAATAATAATATTATTATGAAGTTATTTAAACAACAGCATCAAAGCTCACTTTCACGAATAGGACATCCTTGCACTACAAAATTACTTATGTTAGTTTTACTCATAATGAAATCATTTAATACTTTAAATCTAGGATTATTTTTATCCATTTTTAATGATAAAACTTTTCAAATGACAGAATGAAATTAAAAATTTAAATAAAAATTAATGACAAATATTAAACTTATTTATTTATATAATATAATATGTGTGTGTGTGTGTGTGTGTTATATTATACGATTTATATGTCTATTATTAATTACTTAATTGTACGAAAAGTGCGGGAAAATAATACATTAATAATTACCTATTATTACAATTTTAATGAAGTTATGACAAAGATATTTAAAAAAACGCGGGTAACTCATATCAACTAAATAAAAAAGTGGGGGTAAACCGATCAATATTCCGAATTTCTATCTAAACCGGACCGGTGTCGTGTAGATCAACATGAACCAGAGTCATGAATCAGAATCAAAATAATCGGTACGGTACCGCACACCGGTTTGCTCTAGCGAATTTCTACAATGTGTGTAATAAGTTATTTTATTAAATAACTAGTTATTCTATAAAATGCCTAAATATGCTCGCTTATATATAATATATACTATATACTATATAATATATACTAGTTAATATTAAAAAGAATATCGATTGGGTTTTCGCTAATGTTTGAAATTTATATTGTTAGGTAGATATGACCCGGATTGGATTAGATAACATACAAGATTTATTGTCGTTGTCGTTTTATTAATAAAGATAATACGATAAGATAATATTGAACCATACCATTCAGCATAGACTATACTTATTAGTGTAAAAGTGTACTGCAAGTCTACCTACTACTTAGTTTGATCATTTTCAGAGGTGACAATTTAGTTTATGTGCAGAAAAGTTTATTACGCTCAGTGACATTTCAGATGTAGATATTTGTTTTCGAAAGGCACCCGAATACAAAAGTATACAATGAAAAATGAAATTTATTGTTTATAAATATATATATAATGTATAGGTATAAATGAAAAAAAATATCTAAATGAGATGGATGTGGTTGGTATTTTGCTAGAAGTTCGTTGATAGTAAGCTCGACTTTCGTAAGCAGCATTCTTAAGTCCACACGATTAGTTATTTGTAACCATTGTCTTTTTTTAGCGAGTAGATTGGGTACTGCACTAAATCCACTTTCAACCAAGTAGTATGATGCCGATGCGATAAAAAATGTTTGAACAACAGCCCACAATCCGCGATAAATGATAGGTATCTGCTTTTGTCGCCAGAATACTTGGTAACCTACCTTGAGCTTTAATTTTAATTCCTTATTTGTGGTTACTTCTATCAATTCTTCTCCCAATTTTGCAGAATTTATGGTTTCTGTCTTTGAAAATGGATCTAAAACCCATTTGGGTATGTCCATTTTCAGAATATCCTCAAATCAATTGTTGAAATCGGAATGTAGTGCTTCCAGGTGTTGACATTATGTCATTCAATCTTCATCATTTTTTTGTAACATTGATAGATTTGGAAATTGTATAAATTCTTTTCATCCTACATTTATTTTGTACATAAGAAGTTTGATCAAAAATGCAGAAATAATATTTTTTGTTTTGATTAAATTCAAATCATCAAACAGAAGCTGCAAATTTGTTTCATTGATTTTTCAAAACAATTCAGTCAAATAAGCAATGTCATTTCTATAATTAATTCAGTTGCCATGTAAAATATCATCTTTAGTTTTTAAAAACTCAAGCAACGAGTCAAACAACTTAAAGAAGCAGTCTAAACAGGCACACTTCGACAACCAACAATCTTTTGTGTGTAATAATAATTGATGGAATTCTTAATCATATTCAGTACAAAGTTGTTCAGACAATCTATTGTTCAATGAATTATTTTTGATTTTATTTATAGCTGAAATTACATATTGTAATGACTTATGTAAGCGTTCACTCAAATTTTTGAAAACTAAATGTAGTCGATGAATGACACAATGTACAGCGAGTACAATTGGTAAAGTTTTTTTTTCAAATATCCAATACTGATTACGGAGAATTATTAAAAATATTATTACATACAGGTAATGAGTTGATGTTTGAACCTTAAAATATACATAATCAATACTATATGAAAAGAGTCAAACTATATACTATCATAGAATATGCAAAATTAAAAATGTAAGATAAATAGAAGCAAAGGCGGAAGCATTCAATAATATCCTGGTGGAATCTCTACAGTTTACAGTTGACCATTATGATTACATCAATTGTTTTGAGGTGTAACTTTGTTTCAAATCAATTTTATCACCTGCAGCAGCCATCATGTCCTTCTTACACGTTCAGGTATTTAATTCGTGTATTCTGTAAAAAATGGACCACATTAGTTTAAATATTTCAAATTTTCAATTTTAATTATTAAAAATATTGTTACATAAATACAATGGGTGGTTGTTGAAACCTTATAATACACATAATTGACACAATATGACAATAGTCTAACAAAATGGTATCGTAGAATAGAGAAAATTGAAAAATGTAATTTGTGATCTTTGAACAATGTGTAATCAATAATAGTATATTTATGACTGTAAGAAAAAACTTTATGTTTTTAAATATACAAGTGAATGATAATGATATATAGTTTAATAAACTGTGTGTAAAAAGAAAATAACATTGAAACATTTCCACACACTTTGGAAGAAGAATTTCCTTAAAATGTTCGAACATCGACATTGTATTTGGAAAAAAATGAATTTTATATATTAATTTTGTAACATTTAATGATTAATGAGGAAATGACAATGTACATACAAAATGAAATAGTTTTATATAAGCAAAGTTTAAAACGGTAATAGATTCAGAAATAATTAGTCAAATCATATTCAATTAAGTACTGGCGAAAGGTTAGGTTAGTGTGGCGTCGGTCGTCGTAAACAACGCACCGTGAGCCGCCTGGGTTTACAAAATTACAGTGGAAATAGGAAAGGCCCATGTTCTGGAATATACGATAACTATCTCGTTAAAGTAAATGCCACAATGAAGATTTTTTTGGAATTTTTTTTCTAACTTCAAAATCTGAGTTTTTTAAATTTATTTTGAGAATATTATCTTGAATGTAAAAATAAACACTCTAGTCGTATTTTTTGCAAAATTCTCATACGAAACGATATATCACATCATTTTTGCGCTTGTCGCACGTTTTTCGCGTCCGAATCGCCAACTAAAAAAAAAGTCGTGCGACACATCGATTTGTATGAGAATACTGCAAGATAATCAGTGTTGATAATTATTTGTTGTCATTGATAATACACGATTAATTAACACATTGTTTTACATTGTCGACTAATAAAAAATATGAAATAATAACAAAATTAGGGTTAACAGAGTTTTAAACGATCAAACTTTACTAATTACTAGCATACATTTGTGTCATACCTTTATTAAATAACTTTTAACTTTATAAAGTTATAATAGTTAGAGATAAAAAAACTACCTATTTGTGTGTTTATACTGAAATTCCAGTTTTTGGAGTTGTTGAAGTGAAGGACATCATAATGGCGCCACCACTGGAAAACAGGTACGTAAGAATTAAACAAGAGTTTGTCAAACGCCTTAGCGCAACACAGAAAGAAAAAACACGTCAACTTTTGGAACGGGTAGAAATTGGAGATAGAAAGCCATCGCAATTTTTATGCCATCTTCAAAGCCTAGCTGACACCTCCATACCGGAAACACTGTGGACGAGCCGACTACCGAAAAGTATTCAGGCAGCTCTTGCGATCGTCAAAGACTTCAAACTCGTGGATCTCGAAGCACACGCTGATAATATTGCAGATGCATCTGGTCCCGGTACTACCACAGATTGCGGAATCAACGGTGAGTAATACTTTAGAAGCTACGTTAAATCTTAAGCTTTCACAGCTAGCATTAGAGATAAATCAGGAAATCACAGCACTGAGAAAAGAAATGGCCGAAATTAACACCCGTTCCGCACGTGGGCCGAGCCCTGACACTAGTGCCCACCGTTCAAGACCTCGATCACGAAGTCGAAATTCACATGGCGTCAATGGAGTTTGTTGGTATCATT